AGGACTGTAGTTCAGCCCTTGTGCTGCCAGCAGCACCGAGAGTACCACTGTACGGAACAGCCAAAGGACGGGTAAGGAGATAGCCAGGTGAGGGGAGTTGAAGAGCAGGCAGTCCCTTACCTTATTAAGGCTCAGGGCTGAGAAGGACCAAGCTGCGAATGGCTTGTATAGCGATGGATCCTTGCCAATGACCAGTAACATTTGGTTAATGATGGTAATGGGGACTGCCAGGATTGCAGTTGCTTTATGTGATGTCATGCTTGACATCTGCATTATTTTGCAATGAAAATTCTGGTGTCAATTGCCATAGTAACTTGGGGACTACCTGTACTTGTTTTTTTCTCTGTATTCAGGACATGTAGATTATTTATTTATTTTGTTATATCTGGCTACCATTTATGGACTTTCTGCTGGACTGAAAGAGATTTAGTTATAGATAAATGGAATATACAATAAAGAGATAAATGTTTGTATCTTTAGAGAGAATGAAGAGTTACTAAATTTGTTTAATACTTGTTATAATGAAACCACTTCTGTATATCTTTTCTCTTTAATATATAATTTTTTTCTCTTTTTTCTTGCACTTTGTACTCCTCTCTATTCGCTTTTTCTTTTTCTTTATATTAGATTTTACTATTATAAAAATTAACTTAACAAACATAACATAATCTGGATGACAATTGCCACAGCCCCACTCCTGCCCTGAGATATCAGCTGATGCCACACCTGAAACACACACTGAAACCTGGCTGGGCAAAGCTCTGAGAGAGACACCCTCCCTCCCTTGAGCTCAGTCAGATCTCAGAAATATGCACCAGTTCTCTCCTCTATCTCATCTATTATATGTAATATATATTATTAGTAACATCTTATTGATTATGTAGAGTAATATGTTACTACTTGGTGTTGAATTAGTAATATAGATTATTGATTTGTATGCTTTGAGAAAACTCACCAGACTTGTATACTGTAGTATTTATTATTTAAAAAAAAACAGATGCATTTTTTAAAACTGTTTAACTTATTGAATCTTAGTCTTCTTAAAAGCAGAAAATCACTTAAAAATCACATCCCTCTTATAAAGCTATAGATTGCAGTGATATAGCTGAGGTAATAATATAATCCTTTCTGAATGAGGTGCTGCATCAAACTAACAAGGCACCCTGGCATATTTTATACTTATCAATTGGAAGTGTTGATGAGTTTGCTACACTGCAGGAGAGCTCTGAATGGAGAAAGCTTGGGAACCTCTGATATTATTCTGTACCACTTTATATATAAGGAACTTCAAAGGTGGCCTTTGAAGAAACCTCAGAGTTTCTGGGGATAGTTTATAATTTTACCCACTCCTCACTTAGCAACGACCTCACCTAGCAACCATTTGCAAATATGATGGTAATAAAATATCTCTTTTCTGACCAATGTGCACATTTATGACTAAATTTTGTATACCTGGCAATAAGGCATACCAGAGTGTGAGTAATGCTAGTGTAGCTGCACAAGAACTGTATCTGAATAAGAGAGCAGCAACCAGTGATCTTTTCAATATCTCTGTTAAGAGATACTTATTGATAATTTCACTTGGTCGATCATTTCTACCCGATTATTTGATTGCACTGAAATGGCAGAATGGAAAGTGAGAAGAATTTGAACTGGATTCTTAAAATAACCTGAACTGTATTTGGTCAAGATCTATTCACTAAGCCCTAGAAATTGAGTACTTTACATGATAGAAAGTGATAGACTGTGGAATCAGATTTCAAGCACAACAGCTGCTTGGGCTATCATTGATGACAAATTGCATGAAAATGAATGGTTGCACACATAACTTTAGGTAACTTATTTTTTTCCGCTTCAGGTTCCTCTGGGTCATTTAAAATGACAAATTCTGGAGATTCCTTTATAAACCTGCAGTCACTAAGTTCTTACCAGAATTCACCAGTGGGAGCCAATGTGCAGTCTCAGGTAAGTGGAACTATGTCAGGTTAGCAATCCTCTGTAGCTATAAATATTTTAATCCCCATAAATACTTCAATCCAAGTGCCCATTGTAAGGTATACAGATTTTAAGATTTCCTGAAGGCATTACAGTAAAATATCTAAAGGTAGTCCTTGAATTATTACCAGTAATTTAACAACTGTTCCCATTTATAGCGATCACAGAATGAGTCCTTGATGGTCAGTAGAACACCCCTGGCCATTGTAAATGTCCTCTTCTCCTGGTCATATAAGTGCATATAGGACAGTTGGCAACTGTCACAGGTTTACAACTGGTTGTAGCATTTCGGGATCACACAACTGTAATTTGTGACTTTTTTGCCAGTTTCCAGCAAAAAAGTCATTTAATGCATTTGTTTAACATTTGCTGCGTTTGCTTAATGACAATAGTGAAAAATATTAGAAAAAAACTTCTGGTCACGTGGGAGCCTCAACTTATGACTTTATCAGCTTATGCCTGTATTTCTGGTCCCAATTGTGGTTAGAAGTCAAGGACTATCTGAATCTATAGCTACTAGAAGATAGGTTATGACCTGATCTAAATCTTCAAATGCTTCTTTGGGCAAGGAAAGATTTGAACTTTTCTGTACTGGACTACAACTGGTCTGCCATTTAAATTTTGGGCTAAATAAGGTTGATTCTGTGCCTGACCTGAACCTTTACAAGGATTAGTATATAGTATATATAGTATATATTAGTATATGACCGCAATTAGGACCAGAACTTCCAGCACCCAAATTCTGACCGTGTGAGTGCAGGGATGCCACAATGGGCATAAAGGCAAGGACCATCATAAGTCATTTTTTCAATTCCATTTAACTTCAGTTTTTCAATGAATGGTCATACGTCAAGGACTACCTAAATGTGGCCCGAATGTTCATTACTGTAATGTTGTTAATATTCTCTTCTGGATTTCAGAGGGAAAAATAATATACATGTTCAGTCAAAAGAAATGTTGCTATACATGCCAAAGTAAGAGAATGGGATCTTGGGTGTTTTTTCTTTTTTTAATTTTCTTTTCCCAAAATTTGTGGGCCCTGAGAAACTCGTTCATTATTTTGAAAAAAAAATCTTATTATGTTAATAGCAATATCCTAAGCTCCTATATTGCAGAAAAGCAATATAAGTAGTTATAAGTTGAGAATAAATGTGCAGCCCAGCTGGACACTAAAAGGTCACAGAAAGGAAAATAATGGGGTTTGGGGCAGTAAATATAGCATTTACATAACTCTTGGCACTTTTTTGTTTGCTTGACAAATTGGTCATACTGTTACAGATGGATTCCTTACACCATGTCATACACCAGGCAGGAAGATATGACAGCATTGTGGGAAACCCCTTATATTCGACACAGCGCATTGATGTAAGGAGCTTCTGATTTTGAAACTGAATGTCTTGAGCTGTGGAAGTCTGACATGGCAATGTTGGTTAATGTAACTACCTCTGCAGATGCAATTATAATAGAACTCTACTGCGGCATTAACTGTGGTGTTGCTAGCACCTTGCCATAAGACTGCTGCTTCAAAGAGTGGGGGAAATAGGCATCCTGTTGCCAGTTTTTATTATTCAGGGATTTTTTAAAAAACCCCTCATGTTTAAATTGTAAGAAAACCTTTCTCTGTATCATTCACGGTACTGCGAAGAACCATGAATGGTTAGGGATGCTCAGAAAGAGAAGCTGGCTCACCTATTCATCCATATTGGCCCAGTGAATTAGAAGGAAGCATCTTTTCAATCCCCTCCTATTGGAGGAGAGTGCTCCCAGTTGAAAGAAGAGACTGCAGGAGAAAGTGAGAGAGAGAAAGCAAAAGTATGCACAGCAACTAGCCTCCAGTGAAATCCACACACTGGCTTTGGATTGGTCTGCGTTTGTGAACAGAAAGATATGTGCGAGTGTATTCTTCTATCCTGTACTCTGAATTGTTTGAGAATCAACAGGCAGTAAAGCTTTAACTATTTAGACAAATTAGCAGAAGAAATTGGGCAAGAGGAAAGGAGATTTGGGAGAAAGAGAAGCCATGAAACAAATGCAGCAGAAGCTGCAGTTACTCAATATTTTACCTTCTGTGCCCCAGAAAGTGAATTACTTGTGAATATGTTTACTATGAGACTAATCATAATGGAACAAAGTCTGTGTGTTGCACATGGCATAATGCTCTCCTATTGTGATTTGGGAAATCATTATCAGAGTGATTTAAGAGACAAGTAGTAGCACCTTGTGGACTTAACAACAAAATGCCTTTATTCCCTCTTCAGGCTAATGGCAGCTGGCAGGACGCTACTACCCCTTCATCAATCACTTCACCTACTGGAGATCCAGGAAGCATTAATTCAGATGCATCTAATTAAATGTTTTAGGACCTGTTGAGGAGAGGAAAGAGGTCATTAGTGTATCTTGTCAATGTTGCTCTTTTTTTGCCAATACTTTTGATTCTACAACTTGACACACACACAGCTAATTACCTCAGATAAAATAAAAAGAAAAATGAAAACCAATGGAAGATTGTGATTATATATGGACACCTCTCTACCTCTCGGCATGATGTGCTTGAGTTCTTCTTACGTCTGCCCTTTGGGTTCTAAAAGAACTGGCTTCATTTACCAAAACAAATTGTTTTTAAAAAAAACGAATTACCACTTTTATGCTTAAGAGTTGACTCCATTTTTCCAGTTTTAAAAAAATGCAACTGATTTTAGTTTCTATGTGTTTTTACTATAAAAATTCTGTTTTAGATGCTAGTTACTAACAAATAGCCCCTCTTGTATTGTAATTGTATGCGTTATCTGTATTGTAATTTTCTAGAGGAAGACTCTATCTTTGAACTCATTAACCAGAACAGGCTATTGCTTTACCAAAATGATTATTGGACTTTGCTCTTTGAATAGAAACTTCATCTTCTGTCACTCTCATGTAGCTCTAATTTAATGTCTTAGAGTATACACAGACTTGTCTGTGAATAGATTTTTGTACATCTAGGAAAATGTTAGTAGCAAAGTCATCACTTTCAGTTTAAATTTATCAAAGAATAAACTTCCAAAGTCTTTTTTTCCTTTCTGCCTTTTTCCAAGATTTCCTTCATGTTGATGGATGGTATTTACCAGTAGATTGGGGTAAAAATAAGAGATTGGTTCACACTGCAGTCTTTTGTATGTCTACTCAGAGATATCCCATCCATGTAATTGGAGACCTTTTGGCCCTCTAACTCTTTGTAATATGCAACAACCGGCTTCCCATAGTCATGTTAACTGACACCCTTGAGAATTAATGTAACTAAAGTTGATGAAATTTCTTGCCATGGTTACTACTTCCACATATGAATGCACTGTTCATTTGTTAAAATTTTGATCCAAATGTTAGCTGTTATTCGGTATCCAATCATATATTTTGCTTTTTGGAGTTAAGCACTATGGGAAAGCTCCATCAGTACCAATCAATAGATGGACCAGAACTTTTACAATGTATTCAACAGTTCTTCCTTGTAATTGCATCATCAATATTTTGCATTTAAAACAGTTTTGAAGAATGTGCTTATTAACATGATCCATTGCTAAACATCACTAAGATAAAATAGACTGGGCTATGCCATCAGGTATTCAGAATGTTGGGGACTATAATCTGAACCTTCTAGAGGCTGCTTAGATGGGAATAGCTGCTATAAATAAAAACTGCCTAACAGTCGTGTTTGAAGGAGTAGAAAGTGGGGCATTGACAATTATACTACTGACTGATATGTTAAAAGCTATGACAATTGAGATTTGAAAGTTGAGAGGACTCATGAAGCAATTGAAACACTTGTGAGTTTCCTTTATATTTTGTTTCTTTTTATGTAAACATTTCTTTCAACTAAAAAAGAGACAGTCATTTTAAAAAAACTGAAACACTGCTCTGTTGTCTCAATTGTTGCAGAAAAGTCTGGCAGAGTAATGTCCAAACTAAACCTTTTATTTCAGTGATAACCTTGGATTTGGTTTATGTACTCATTTAGCATTCATCTCTTCCTTGAGTTCAAAGGTATCGTGACAGTTGGTGACACCTATATACTTATTGTGTTCAACTTCTTTGCTTAGAAATAATGGGCAGCAGGATCACATCTGTTTTGGTTATGCTTTTAACTATATGGATATTCATTAGCATGTTCTCAGATGAGCTGGTTAAGACTGGATAAACTAGATAGTTTTCCAGATCCTCCAATGATGGGTTGATCATCAAAAACAATTTCTAATTTCTCCAGCATGAGATCTTTCAAACAGTCATTTGCACTTGGGCACAAAGCTGACCCTGAATTGAAAAAAAGAAAACAAAAACTGAGAACAGAGAAAAATCCTTGTTTTGGCTGTTTCCTGAGATTGATTCAAATAATGTGTTAATTTCCAATAGTCACCTCAATTTCTTTTTTTCATATTCTGGCTATTCTAACATTTGCCAAAGGAATGGGGGACATTCACATACTAAGAATATAAAGACTATAAAGATACTATTAAGCTAATGAATCCTTTTTTGAATAAGTCATAAAAAGTGTCTATGGAGAGCTCAGTCATCCAGGTCATGATTTTCCCAAAGCTGTTTTTTCAAGAGGCAACTGGACGTGTTTTACTTTGAAGATGTTTTTTTGGATGAGAAGCAGAATGTGTTCAAAGAAAAACAAGAAAGTCCAATTGCCTCTTGAAAAAACAGCTTTGAGACAAGTCATAAAAAGATAAAACATATTTTAACATTGTGAAATGAATTCAAAATTCCTTAGGACCTTTCCTGCCTAGCCCTGCTTTTAAGGAGTGCCTGTCACTGCAGATTTTATTTTTTTGGTGATCCTATTTTACCATGATGTATTAGAGATTGTCAATCCTCACCCCATCACCTACAGCTTTAATAATCAAATTTTAGATGTGACATTGTATTTCCTGGATCTTTAAAATCCTTATGACAAGAAAGACCCAACAAATTGAATGCAAATTTTAGAAATCTATGATTGAAATAAGTTGTAACTTAACAGTATTTTCATAAGGATTTTAAAGATCCAGGAAATACAATGTCACATCTAAAATTTGATTATTAA